AAACTTGTTCCTTTAAATTGGCTGCATTTTCCATCCAATCTACCAGTCTCCAACGGGAAATGTTAAGGTTATTTTGTCAGTAACATACAAGGATGTATAAAAGGACTACATTCCTTATACTACCTATAAACTACAAGGCATAATCTCAAGATTTTGCCTTCAGTTAATGACTGATCAACATGAAGAACTAACCAGAGAAAGGCAACAACTTAACTTGGTCATACTTTAAGCTTTTCCAATAATTTCAAAGAGAACACAGACTGAGGACAGTCGTATTGCTATAATCCTGACCACTGTTATTAAAGTTGCTATTTTAAGGTTGTTGCTCATGCTCACAGCACTCCAGCTGAGACCAGTATATTGGTGCTGTTAAAATTTATTCTGACATAAACCTGATTAGCATGCTGTGGACTAACAGTATGAAGCATCTGAGACTATCTGAAAAAAATATGTCAATAGAGTTGCCAATTTAACCAAGGCAAATTTCTGACATTTTGAAACTATTCCAAATTAAATGAAATCAAAAACAGATTAAATCAATGAATGAACCACACAAAATGAAATGAAGGCGTTTTTAACTCTATTCTTGGCAGTGATTGTTTCCATGCTTGACACTATTGCAACGCAACAAAGCAGCTGTTACAAATAGTTGAAATGACAAAAGGTTTTGATGAGTGACAGGGTGGGAGTCATAGAAAATTTCAAGGTTTTACGAGGCTTCATCTGGTCATCAAAAAACCCAAAGGGCACACAGCAAGAGGGAGAACACAACAAAAAGCAATAAAAAATGAAGAAAATTTATACACACACAGGATAATCAGGGAATAGGCAACAGGCACGAACACAGCTGAAACTATCACAGATAATGAAACTGGGGAAAATGGAACTAAACCCAAAGCACACAGGACAAGAGATATAAGACAGGAAATAACTAACATTGAAATCGAGATTAAGACACACATGCTTGACACAAACAGACGTCAAGACTCAGTGAGAAGACAAATTAGAAGGAACCGAATGAAAATACAAAAGAAATAAACAAACCTATCAACTAAACCAAGAACAGAACAAACGGCACAGAACACATGGATCACAAGCAGAACAGAAGCCTACGATCTGAGCAAGAGCAAATGCCAACAACTGAGCAACATGTTATTGTGTGTGTATATGGATAATAGCAAACAGTGAAATACATTTCTTGCACACCTCAATAAATTTTTTTCACTCAAATTAAACTTTTTGCTCAAAATAATTCTCCAGTCTGAATGATATTCCAATGTCTGGGATATGCTGGTAGTGTGGATCAGTGAATCAATGTCTCAATCACTCTTGGCATACAGCTTGATGTCATCCATGTACAGGAGGTGGCTGAAAACTGCTCCATTGCGTAGTCAGTATCCATAGTCAGTCTTTGTAATGATGTCACTGAGAGGGTTCAGGCTTATGCAGAACAGCAGTGGAGACAGAGCATCTCCTTGGTCGATCCCGCACTTAATGGTGACTTGTGCTATGGACTTGACGTTGGTTTCAAGTGTTGTACGCCACATCCCCATTGTATTCCTGATAAAGGCTCTTAGGGTCCTGTTGATCTTGTACAGTTCTAGGCATTCCAGGATCCAGGTGTGCCCCACACGAGTCATAGGCCTTCCTGTAGTCAATCCAGGCAGTGGCAGTGGTTGGCCGCTATGATGCCTGACAGGAGCTTCCATGCAGTCCTGAGGCAGGTTATTGGGCAGTTTTTGGATTGGACCAGTCCCTTCTGGGGATCCTTGGGGAACAGGACTGTCTGGCCTTCAGTCAGACATTCTGGGTGTCTCTTGTTGATTAAAAGCTGGTTCTTTTGTGCTGTCAGATGCTCATGGAGTGCAGTCAGCTTCTTTTACCAGCAGGTGTGAATCAGGGCCTGGTGCTGTCCAACTCAAACTGGAGACCCTTTCTTGGATGTCTGCCACTGTGATAATTTCTGTTTAGGGAGGTTGCTGTGGTGTACTCTAGTCTCCTTCTCCATGGAGGGTACTGCTCCTTGTGGCGGTTTATCTTGTAGCCAAGCATCTCACTGATCACTGCTGCCGTGGTATAGATCAGCTGATTGGTTTTGGTGATGGTCACAGTAGGGATTGTCCATAGTGCTGCATTCACACATTCTAGTAGACCTTCAGAGAGTACTTCACATAGTCTTGGTAACCTGCTCCATATTGCCATCTTTGCAATCATCCTCTCTTTCAGGTCAGTTTCTCTCACACTCAATTCTCCTTCTTCCATCGTACTTGTCGCTTTGGTACCCAATCTCGGGTGGGGGTGATGATACCCCCCCCCTCCCCCCCCATCCTACCTCCCCTTTGCCATAGTATTTGTTTTGTACCTTGTCGATCTCCAGCTGTGATAGCAGTCCCTTCTTCTGAATTTTGGAACACTGAGCTAGTAGTTGTTTCGTCGTCAGACATGATATTGTGTATCAAAGATTCCACAGGTCCCCTGTCCTCTTCATGTAACCCCTTCCGCTGGTGTTACTTGTGTAGTGACATTCCGACAGTGCCCTGATTTTATCTCTTGCCCACCTATGCCTTCTTGTTCCAGTAGTCACAGTTAGAGCAGGGCGATATGACCAAAAATATTTGTCACGATATACATTTGAAAATTTGCGATAATGATATAACTGATGATATAATTGACACTAGACAAAATACTTTACAACTCCACAACTTTATTAGTGCAAAAAAAAAAAAAACAACATCAATGTATTTTCACTTAAGGGAAGAGCAGCTTATTTCTTCTGCACAACACTTTTGTACCAGGTCATCTTTTCTCCTCTCTCTCTGGACGTAACATCTTCTGAGATGACATCAGAAGATATCACGACTTATCATCCTCTTTCTTTCTGACTTTTCTACATACACAATTTAAAACAAACTTTAAAATGACTGTATAACATCTTCTTTTCCATGTTATTCTTAGCATGACTTTTCAGTAATTCCATCACATTTGAACTTTCAGTCACATGTGTATATCCTTCTGTTTTATTCAGTTTATGCAATCTTACTTCAGTTGCATGTATCATTACCTTATTTTCACATGAACATGAGAAAACACTCAGGTAACACACCAAAAGGTTTCTAAAGATGGGCACCGCCCTGAACTCTTATATACGACCTGACCAAACTCAGACAAAGGAAATTCCACAGCACATCACGTAGCTCTATACCTCCCAGTTCAGCTCATCCTCAAACCCTTCCTCCAAAAGGGAAATTTACAACCACCCGTCACCTCCCTTACATGTGGCACCTGGATGTCTCTAACCTACATACAATGGCCCCACTGTGAAGGTGTAATCAGCACAAGGCCCACTTGTGATAACATCCTACATATCTATAACTTTGAGACAAAGAGATTTTACTATTACTGAAGTGATATTGTTCAAACATGTGATCAATGCATAGAGTATGGAAATCTGCCACTACAACACACACCCACACACATACAGGCACACATACCTAGCCTCCATGGTCAGACTATCAGTAAGAGTAAGAATCATTTTATACATGATATTTTCTTATTTGTTCTATTGGTTAAACTTACGGCTGATTGTATTTTATCATTATATTTTTATTTCCAAGACCTATTCCACCAACTTACAAGTGTGAGATCTTATTGGGGTGGCTGTAGCTCAGGTGGTAGAGCAAGTCACCTACTAACCGGAAGTTGATTTGATCGTCTTCTACAGACAATCCAGTTTGCATGCCAAATAGCCTTGGGCATGATACTAACCCCAAGTTGCTCACTGATGCATCCATTGGAGTATGAATCCATGCAAATGTTAGGTAGAAAGCACTTGCATAGAAAAAAAGAGGCAAGTTGTGTAAAGCCCTTCGATTGCTCAAATAGAGTAGAAAATTCCTATATAAGAACCAGTCCATTTACCATCTATTGTGATGGAAGAGTCTGATAATTCTGGCTAAATATACTAAGGCAATATTTTCTCAGTTATAACTAGAATAGGTATAACACAGTATGAAATGGTGTTCTATGTTCTAAAACCTAGTTTCAGTAGCTGGGGATTAGACTGTTGTGCCCCCACCCTAACTGCTCCCCTAGTGTGTGTCAAGCATAAATATCTACCACTGCATGTTTTTAAGGAAACGTTGTTCTTACATAAACTAACTTAAGATGACTGGTCATTTAATTATCCCTTGTGATTACATAATTATTGGTCAGTTACATATTTTGGAGGTCTATTCACAATGCATATCTCCCTGCACACTATTTATAGTTTATCAAAAACTAAACTGATAGCTCTAGATCAGTACCCTTGCAAAACTGTCACAAAAAGTTTTCATGAAAACTTTGTTGTGTTGTTTTGTCACCCAGCATTGAACCTGTGACATTAAATCCATTGTGTGGAACGTGTAATAAAGCAGAGGTTTATTTATGCATCACTTAAACAAATCTGTTTCACACAGTTATAAGGACACATGTTCCTGTCCACAAGTCCACAACATGTCCTTAGGTTTAATATTCATCTACCCCAGCCACTCTCAGTTGGCTACACATAAATGGTACCCTTACTTTACACCGGCTTTGTTCTTTCATTTTTCTTTTAATTTTTACTTCCGAGTATATAGGATTATAGTTTTTCGTTGCATTATTGAACTTGCACCTTTCAACATCATAAAAAATAGCTTTCACTTTTGTGAAAATGTGGCTTAATATTTTGTCATAGTTCTGATATATCCACATCCATTTTTAGAATTAAATAAATAAAAGAAATTTAAAAATTATGTCCTTAAAGATGATGTAGGTTTTCTGGTATTGAAAATGTGATCAGTTATAGGTCTTCTGTGGGTATTGTATCTGGGTACAAATGTAAAAATACAGCTTTTGGTTGTAGGCATAGTTACCTCAAATCTTGTCATTCTGGTGCAGTGTTTGTATATCAAACTAATTTTTAACATATCCTGTCTCCTCATCTTCCCGTCTTCTCTTCTTGTTTCTTGTTCCTTTAGTTTCATCTTGCATCACCACTTACAAGAAAACTCCTCCTCCAGTGCCACCCAGAACTTCAACCTGCTCCACAGCCTCCAAGCCATACATCTCCATTACAGCCCAGAGCAGCACAGAGTCTGCACAGGTACTGCACAAAGAATTAGTCCATCATGTTAATCTGCTCTTTGTGTGGTTACATCCTTATGTGTACCATGTAGGTGTCATTCATAGCAACATAAAGGAAGCATACGTACTTTCATTGTTTCCTGAGTAATAGTGCTTGCATTCACACTAGGTCTTGTGCAGTTTCGTCCATAATTTGGAATTTAGTAAAAAAAAAAGAAAAAACCTGCATTAACTGTTTTTATACGCAGTCCATCATTTTCAACACAATTTAAAATATAGGAAATCATTTTAATATTTGGATGAAAGTCCTTTCAGGTCATTGACTCCCTGAAGTCTAGATCCTATGGATATCATCATATACTGTATTTTTTTCCTTGAGATGCTCTGCCAGACCTTTGTGCAGTGACCTTCAGTTGTTGCTTGTTGTGGGTCTCGTCTGCCTTCAGTTTTGTCCTCTTTGGTTGAGATCAGATGACTGATTTGTCACTGAAGAATATTCTATTTCTTTGCTTTGAGGGTCATTATTAATTTCCACTGTGAAAAATCATCCAATCCGTTCTGTACCATTAGTCTAAATCTGACTATACCCCTGCTCAGCAGTCACATAATTCATCAATATACACTATTTATCCAGTTCCACTGGCAGACATACATCTTCATGTCATAACATTGCCTGGTTGACAGATGATGTTATCTTCTTTAGCTTATGACTTGAGGCGACTGTTGCTGTGAATTGACCCAGTAGAAATAGAACTGAATCAATGAGTTGTTCATGAGTTTCATCTGTCTAAAGATTTTATTTTTTACAGAACTGCACTTTTAGATGTTTTCTGGTTAATCTGGTCATCCTGGTTACAGAGTTGGGCAGTGCATTACTTGTTCCAGCAGACCATCTGACATCCCTGATTTAGACATTCCTAAACTTTGTGGTATCTCTCTGATAGGTTTATTTTGTTTTTTCAACCTAGTGATGGCCTCCTTTATGTGCATGAACCTCATGTTGAGAGTTCCTGCACATAAATGATTGCTATTGAGTGCAATCATTTCCAGATCTCTTATCTTCTGAATTGGTTATAAACCAATGAGGGAGTAGGTCTCACTTGAACATGCTTGTCCAATTATTTTCGGGTATCTGAAAATAGGGGAATGTAGTTTCTAATCTGTTAATACAATACTTTTGGTAAATCCCCTGAGTTAAAGCTAAGGGTCTTGTTTAAAATTCACTGTGGTGATGCACAGAGGCAAAAATACTAAGAACCTGCCCCAATAACAGGTAAAAAATTTGATGATCGATGAACTTCATGTAATGAAGGAGGCCCTGCAGTCCAATCCCCAACAATCAAGGCTGGCTATTGGTACATGGAATGTCACCTCACTGGTGGGAAAAGAGCATGTGCTAGTGCATGAGGTTGAGCGATACCAGCTAGATATAGTCAGGTTTAGCTTAACACATGGCTTGGGCTCTGAAACTAGTTTCCTGGACAGGGGCTGGACTCTGTTCCAGACTGGACTTGGCCTTTGTGGGTACATTGGGATGCTCTTGGGAGTATCCCCTCTGATGGTGACTCCCTTGTGCTACTGGGAGACTTCAACGCTCACATGGGCAACAACAGCGAGATGTGGAGTGGTGTGATTGAGAGAACTAATCTGAATCTTGGTGGTGTTTTATTACTGGTCTTCTGTGCAGTTTGTCCATAACGAAGACCATGTTCGAACATAAGGATGTCCATAAGTGCATGTGGCACCAGGATTGGGGGTGGGTATAAAAAATGGATTTTCCTGGTTCAAATCGATTTTAGTTTGAATAAAGCGATTTCAATTCATTAAATCCTGAATAATTTTTTAAATATAAATGTATTTTGCCAGAAATGCCAGAATCTCAGGCTAAAGCTTACAAAACTATTTCAACAACTGCCAAACAGCTAAAACAGCAAATGCGAGCAGGTAACGGATTCCACTAAAAAGATGTAAACACAGAGCACAGTCACCCCGTTCACCCAACGGCGTGTACACGGGCATGTCGGGTGCTAAAGGGCGACATCTCACAGATTTTGCAGGTTTTGTCACTCTCTGACCAAAATTCACTGGACCAGCACAAAAGAATATAAAAACTGCGCTTTTAAAAACTTTTGCCGTTTCGCTTCCACCACCAGCTTCTTGTACTTCAAGAACAGTTGACCATCTCAAATCTCTATTTTCTGCATTATTCACCTGCTTATTAAGCACCAGTCTACTGTTGTGTATGGTGCTGTTGGCTGCCTAATTTCTGCTGTTCAATACCGAAGAAATTTAAACTTTTACAAATTCTACCAAATTGCAAAATGCTTAGCTGTGTCTCTAATAAGACCTCTGTAACTTTACTCTGCTTCACTTCAGCAGCATCAGGTAATGTTCATCAGCTGATTCATGGTTTTATTCATGGATGGATGGATGAAGGTGTGTGATATAACTTGTGTTAAAATGACTGTGTATTCTAAAACTAACCAGGATGCCTACATGGAAGAAGAGGGACCTAGAGGCGACATGACCATCCAATCAGGGCTCAGTAACTCCACAGAAAGCATTGACAGCATGAAGGCCTTGACAGCTGCCATAGAAGCTGCTAATGCTCAGGTCAGTGCTTTAGTGCTTTAGTTTTTACTGTAAGCATCGTCGTAATAAACACCCACAAATATTTTCCAATTTCAGCTAGAATACACTGTATTTTTATTGTCTTACTGAATATTGTATTTACAGTGTTCTCAATATTCTTGCATAGGTCCACGGACCAGCCAGTCAGCATGTCAACAATAGTACCATGACAGTCAACACCACCATCCCCTCAATCCTGAGCAGGGGGCAAGTAGTTGAAGACCACCGGGATGATTATAGGAAAGATGCGTTCAGGAAGGGAAAATGTCTCTCCATAGGCATCCAGGTATACGTGAGATCACGGTCAACGAAATATTGAGCTTCAGTTACTTATAAATTATGTGGAGCTTGTTTATCTGTGTTTTCATTTCTGCTAAGAACCACATGTTACCCTGCTGGATAGAGAATATTTAACAAGCTTCACACAAAGTAGGGGTCTGTTTCACCTCTTTTTTACGATGACTATTACTATTTTCCTAAAAATTCTAGATCTGCTATAAATCTGTAATCTGTCTTGGGTCTCCTTTACATAAAGAAATGCATATTCATTTTTATGAAGCTTATTGTTGTGATTATTTTTGGTTTTGCTCTTTTTGCCTCCTCTAGGTTGACGGACCAGAGGATGTTCCGGATCCAGAGGACCCCTCCAAGTTCACCTCTGTAGGTGTGCAAGTGGAAGATGACAGAGGGTGAGACTTTTTTTGTTGGATTTAGCCTAATGTATCTAAACACAATAACACAATAGCCCTCTTTTCTACTTCTTTTGTCATTTATACGTTTCTTTGAAGCTATTACTGGGAAGCACATTTCAAACAGTTGACTATTTTAAATGTTCTCTTTTGTTTTCTCCTGCATGTTTTTTTCTGTGTGCTTTTCCTCTGAGAGTGCAAGCAAGGGAAGCAGTACTTACACAAGTTATTTCATTCATTCGTCCTCTGTCTTTTGAGTCTGGAAGAATCCTTCATAATCCAGGTTTTCAGCATCCTAACATCCCATCTACTAGTGGACATGGGTTGTGTATTTGTAGCCATTTAATGTGCTAGTTTGATACCCCTTAAGACCATTTAAGCATGTGTTATCTGCTTCAGGGTCTCCCAGTTGGATGTGACCAAGATACAAACATTCAGCTGTATCTAAACAGTTTGGAAAAGCATAACTTTTTCTGTCATGATGGTGGAGAAAGACTGTTGATTTAGCAAAACTGACAGTGTCAAACTGTAAGCCAGCCCAGATTATGATGCATCTAATTTACAAGCAGCTACTTCATCCTTATTTTGCGCTACTTGCAACTTTTTTATTTCTTTTATTGGAGCACTGAACAGTTAAGCTCAGATGGCACTAATGCATTTAGAAAATCTTTTATAACCTCTGGTAGCATTCTTTTTACACCTCTTCTGACATCGTAGAGTCACAGGGAACCTCAAATCTCCAAACAAAAAAGTAGCAATTGTTAGATGGAAAAAGAATAGACTAGTGCAAATGTAAACTTACAACATTTTAAAGATGTGTATGTGAAGACATATGTTCTCTGAAAGCAGAGGGCAGAAATTTTATTTTAGTATTTATTCTTTTTTCCCCCTCTGATGCTCAGGTATCGTCGGTTCCAGCGCTCCAATAGTGTGACAGCAGCTGTGCAGGTAAGTTTTGGTACCGACTGCACCCATACAAAATAATGCTTGCAGCTTCCTTGAGACACACTGGTCGCTGAGTTTAAAGCAGTGCTAAAGAAAAGCCTGCACCAAAGCTGCAAGGTAAAAGAAATGCACTGGCTATATTTTAACAAAACACCCATATTTTTTAAAACATGAGAAATACTATACTGAACCAGAACATGGTCCAAGAGTTGGCAGTTTGCTTGAGATCAATGATGCCTCTTAGCTTATGAGATATTTACATTTAAAAAAGGCACATATGTCTTTTGTTTGTCTGTCACTATTTCTGTTATAATCACAAAATATATATATTTATAGTTTAATTCGCATAGTATTCACTTGCAGCCAATTATGGAGCTTTATGAATGCTACATTTTTTGTGCTGGATTACCCACTCTGAGAGCCTTTTTATATCTATTAGTATTCAAAGGATAACAGTCTTTTACCGAAGTCCTTGTAGTCGAGGAATAACCAAACAAAACCCTTTCTTTCATTTCTTACTTTCTGGATACTTGCAGGATGGCGTTACCTTGCCCTCCAGAAACACTGTGAGGAATTTCGGAGTAATTTTTGACCAGTACATTTCCTTCAGTGCATATAATAAACACATATGTAGGACTGCTTTCTTGTATTTGTGCAATATTTGAAGGCGCTCAACCTTCAAACAATCAATCAATCACAGCTTGAAGATGAGCCTGGCAACAAAATGTAAAACAAGAATATAGGCACCGAACTCAAATGGTGATATCGTTCTTTAAAATTTTATCCAAAATGCAGTTTTGGGTTTTTTTAAGATGAAATGTCATAAAATAATTAATTATTGAGGGCATCAGTGCTTTTTTCTGTTAGTTGACATGACAGACATTCGGTTGGTGCAGTTTTGGTATTGAAACTATGACATAGCACATGATGCTACACTGATTACTGATGCTCAAAGCTACTTAAGAACAAATGTTGAGCTTTAAAAAGATCAATTTTGGCTTGAGATTGCGGTGGTATTTGGTTGCAGTTTTAATCGAGTAGAAATCGTCTTTTCATTTGAATATTTCCTCAAAAGTAAAGTAAAAAAAGCCAAAAACCTAATAAAAATAACCAAATTTGGGCCTACTCCGTTATACTCATTAAACATATTACACTTGTAAAAAACATCATCTGTTTCTGAGGAAGTCGGGTTTGAACTATCAGTTGATTTTTTTTTATGGCCCCTTCACTTCATCTCTAAATGAGGGTGAACATCATTTAGCAACAAATGCAAACAGGTATAACAGACCTGCACTGCTCACAAATCCACTGATTTCTGTACTCATTATTCCATCCAGGCAGATCTGGACATGCCAGACCTACTAGACACACCTATAAACTCCCCGGACACTGACATGGAAATGCTGTCATCTCGTGCCATCCCTCGGCAATATTCCCGCGATGCCACCGCTTCCACCGTCAGCATCCAGGGCTCAGGGAACCACTACCATGCCTGTGCCTCTGATGACTATGAGGATGTGGGCTTTGACCCATCCATCCTTCCCCCTCCAGACCCATGGATAGACAGTGTAACAGATGACCAACTTGATGTCAGTTTCAACAGTTCTGCTATACTGGAGGTATGTGGGAGAATATTCAGTGATACTATTTGGTTAACTTTAGTTTTACATTACATTTACAGTTGCGCTCATAAGTTTTGCCTATTTTCTAGATCAGGGGTCGGCAACCTTTCTGATGATGAGTGCCATCTAAAATTTCCTCAGAAGTCAATGTGCCATATGATTGCATTAGCAATAGATGTAATAACGCTGTATATTAACAGTTACACAATATATAGAAAAACTTAGAATAGAATTATATTTGTTGGCAGATGTTGGCAGCTATCAGTGAATAGTTATCAGCTATTTTGAAAAAAAAAAGACTTTTTATGTTTTTTTATGTTTATGGCCTCCTCACAACAATGATAAGAAAAACAAACTGGGCCAATATGGCATGTTTGTTAATACAGAGACACACATGTTAATGTGATCTCTGGTCTCCCACTCAGAGACACAGGTCTCCGAGTGTCCAGCATTCAGAGGCTACCTGAGGACTCATGTGAGAGAAAATCTGCTCACACAGACATGTAGAACCAAATACTGTCAATAAGGCCTCTGCAATGTTCTGAAGACAGTTAACCTTGTCAGGTAGTGATGAAAATGCAGCTCCATGAACACGCACAGCTGTGGATTCCAGCTGCTTTCGTAGTTCTGCAAACTTTGACCCCCACAGAGTCGAGCTTTTCAGTTCAATCAGCTGCATTTCGATGTCCTCTGTGTCCAGCCAGTTAATGCGAGACAAACCCAGCTGCTCATTAAAGCTTTTTGATTTGATTAGAAAAGAAAACATTGGTCCATACACCTAATACACTTGTTGTGCCGAGGGCTGGACTGGGACAAAACATCGGCCCGGGGATTTTGACTAGAGACCGGCCCACCAGGTATTACAGGAAAAGCCACGAACCCTTTGAATGAAAACAAACGCTGTTGTGACAGTGATGTACAGTCTTGTTGGTCTATGTATGATTTCTATGCATGTTACATCAGATAAAATCTTTGGTTGTAAGCTTCAGATAATTATTTAATAACAGACGTTTTAAATGAAAATAAGAAAGTATTTCTTTGTGCCCCCCTCTCCCTGTTAATGCCCTACCTGCCCCCCTGGCAGAACTAGACCCGCCCCTGCACAGTTACCAGCTGTCAGCTACTTAGAAAAGGATCCTGGTGTTATTTGTCTCTCAGAAACAGTTCATAACTTCAACTCCTTCATGTCACCTAAAAGGTAAACCTGTTTCTCCATCACCTGTTCAGCTCTGATGATCCAGTAAGGACATCTCCTGGTTTCATCTTCATGTTTCCCTCTCACCACATATCCAAACCGACATCATGACCAGCAGCTTTACAGCTGTGGCTCCAGCAAACATCAGCTGATACTAGAAATTAATATTAAATAAATTCTAACAACAGCTGATCAAGCTTAAACGTGCTGCTGTTGTTTAGCGCGACATCCGCTGGTTTCCTCTTTCTGGCGCAAAGTGGGCGATAAACAAACAAGACAGAAAAGCCGATCAGCTGATCATTGATCAGTTTCATGATTAAAGTAGCAACAGGAGAGGGAGGGGAGAGAATGAGAGAAGAAGAGGCAGCTGTGCAGCTTAAAGACACAGAATAACTCCAGCTGAAGTTCGGGACAAACTGTTCTTTTTCAGCTCAACATGAAACGCGTAATATTTTCTCTGAATACGAGACGATTCCATTTTTTACGGAACATTTGGCAACTCTACTAACTAACCTTATGAATAAAATAAAGTTCACTATCAGTAACATTATAGCACCTGCCCAGCTGTATAGAAACTCCGTCATGCTGGCTAGTACGCAGCACGAGTTATTGTAACTGACTGTGAAAAGTCAGCACAACGAAAATAAACTCCACCTAAACTTGGTTCATATCTGACCCAGAGAGACTGCAGGTCATAACTTCTTACCTGAAGTTCAGTTCACCTGATACTCGGACCGGCAGCCGCCTCGGGTCTCTGCTCCTCCTGCCTCCCCTTTCTGTCATCCACCTGCTGCCTCTGTGGAAGCCATAGTCCCCACCAAACAACTGAACAATGGACTGGCCACCGGTATGCCCGATGGCCAATCCAGCTATTGTCGTGCCATCAGTTAACCCTTAGCTGGCACACGTGCCCAGGGTTGCCGACCCCTCCTCTAGAGAATATGGATGCTAATACAAAAGCTTTTCTTTCACTAATGGTTAGTGGTTGGGTGACACCATTGTCAAAAAAACTACCCAACTACCCCAATGACCCTGATCAAAAGTTTACATACTCTAGTTCTTAATAGTGTGTATTGCCTCCTTTAACTTCAATGACTGCTTGAAGTATTTTGTGGTTGTTGTGGATGATGCATTTTATTTTCGCAGATGGTAAAGATGTCCATTCTTCTTGGCAAAATGCCTCCAGGTCCTGTAAATCCTTGGGCTGTCTTACATGACCTACATGTTTGAGATATCCCAAAAGTGGCTCAATGACATTGTAATCAGGAGACTGGGATGGTGACTCTAGAATATTTACTTTTTATCCTGTAAGAAATTAAAGGTGGATTTAGTCTTGTGTTTTGGATTATTGTCATGTTGGAATGTACATGTGCATCCCATTGACAGCTTGCGGGCTGAGGAGTGCAAATTTTCCTCCAGTATTTTCTGATAACATGCTGGATTAATCTTGAAATCAATTTTGGACAGGTTCCCTGTGCCTGTGTAGCTCATACATCCCCAAATCCCCAATGTAAGTAATCCATCCCGGTAATGAGGCTTGCTTCCGAGTTATTTAGCATATTGTAAATAGGCTGCTTTGGGGCATTAATGCAGTTGTGGTTTTCATCTGGGGACCATGTAGCCCATTGTTCTTCAAGTGCCCCTCTTTTTCTTTTTTTTCAGCGAGTCCTGTATGTCCGTGGTTATTTGTGGGTTTTTCTTTGCAATTTTCTGGTAGTTTTGGCTGAAGCTTTTGTTGGTGTACCTGTCCGTGGCTTGGTTTCACCATAATTCTACTTCTTAATTAGAGTTTGAACACTACAATTGTCTGGATACCTTTTTACGTCCTTTTCCTGTTTTATAAAGTTCAAGTTATCTTCTCCCACAGCTCCTTTGATAAATCTTTTTCTTTCTCTATGGCATCAGGGGAGGGAGACAGGACAAAGACATGCTGTGGAAGAGAGCAAGAGATTAATAATAACTAATGATTAAACACAGAATTGTGTGCAAACACATAGTGAGTGAAAAAAGTTGAGCAAAGAAGAAATACTCAGTGCATCATGGGAAACCCTGAGCAGACTACACCTATTGCACCATAACTCTATGCTTTATCAAAAAGGAACGTTTTAAGCCTAATTTGAGTCTTTTAGATTGAATAGAATGAATAATTTATTCATGTTTAATCTGTTGATTTAACACACAGATCGATAAAAGTATTATTTTTATTAAATTTCAGTATTTTCTGGCTCAGACTGACTCACAGTGGTGCTGTTTCAATCTAAGGAGACTGCTGCAAATTAGAGTTTTGAAACTTTAAACTTGATTGGCAGATGGCCGCCCCTCCCTGTGCCTGGTTCTGCTGGATGTTTCTTGTTGTTAAAATAAAATGTTTCCTCCCCACTGTCGCCAAAGTGCGTGATCATAGGGGGTCATATGATTGTTGGGTTTTTCTCTGTATGTATTATTGTAGGGTCTACCTTACAATGTAAAGCGCATTGAGGCGACTGTTGTTGTGATTTGGCACTTTATAAATAAAATTGAATTGAATTAAGATAACCTTTATTAAGATAAGAATCCATCAATGGGTCCCTGCATGGCATGTACCACCAGCAGGTAGAAGTGGTTGATATAAAATATCCTATTAATTCCTGGACAAAGCTGGACTAAAAGACAGCAGACACCCTGGTAAAACAGCAACAACCTATAAGTGTAGAGGCTGGGGTCTGCCACACCGGGCAAGACCCTAGGTGCTAGCTGTGCAAAGACCCTGACACAATCCAGCACATAACGGCAAGATTCTAGCAGGCAAGGCATACATGTAACACCATAACCACGTGGCTTGGATATTATACAGAAACATCTGTGTCGAGTATGACCTGGAAGTCCTGGGGCAAAAATGGGAGACGTCCCCCAGGGTGGTTGAGAATGACCGAGTCCTGTGGGACTTCTAGATACAGATGGACAAACTGGTGATGGATTAGCCATCTGACATAGTGGTAGTGGACAAGCAGAGGAAGATGGCCATAGTGATAGTTGTATCTATACTAAGTGATAGCATTAGGAAGAAGGATCCTGAGAAGCTCGCTACCAAATACCAAGGGCAGAGAGAAAAGCTAGAGAAGATGTGGCGGGTCAAGGCAACTGGAGTCCCCGTGGTAATCTTAGCACTTGAGGGAGTGACCCCCAAACTGGGCAAGTGGGAAATTATTATTGTTTGCGTATTTATTTGTGTATGTATGTAGATGCACTTTCTCTGATTTTATATGTTATATATTTATTTAACATAGCACAATAAAACAGCACTTTCTCTATCGTGCACATGCAGATGGGGGCAGCTTGGGTTTCAGGAGTTTCCTCATGGCCAAGGCTAAATTCTTGTGACGTGAATTACAACTAACTTATCAACCCTGTAGAAAGTACAGTATACAGTTTTCTGTAGTGATAGTTTTATTATTTAAATGGCAGGTGGTGCAGAGATCAGTTTGCCAGAGAGACGGACGGTGGTTTCTGAAGCTGCTGCAGGCTGAAACCGACCGCATGGAAGGCTGGTGTCGACAGATGGAACTCGACCAGCGGGAGAATGACCTGCCTGAAGACAGTACGTCTTTGTGTGTGTGTGTTGTTGTTGTTCTTCATGTCAAAAAATCTCTCTCAGACCGCATCCTTCGTGTGTGTGTGTTTTCCTAATACTTGAATCCTCTTCCAGGGGTTAGGGTTAGGAGGAGGCAACATATAAATTTGATTGTTTCCTAGAATCTCATGCAATAAGTTGCGTTTGAGTCAACTGCTACTGAAATACTACAAATACAGTGTATTACCTCCATTGTGATGATATATCAGTTCAATTAAATCTTATTTATATAGCGCACAGAGTGTGAAACAGTTTGATAAGATTAGGCTTTCTGGAAAAGTACTTTTGCCCTCAGTGCTCGATAAATGGTAACATGACCAATATAGCGAGTATATTGGGTCCTAACGCTGCAGACGGTCACTGCTGAAAAGATTGGCTGTTAACAAAGTGCTGTATGGAAGCATACTAATGGAAGGGAAAAGTCTGCTAGCAAATGGTGCACAAGTAATAGAGACATCTGCAGCCTTAGGAAGATTGCCAAGAAAAGTGTCAATTACTTGAGAGAGATTCACAAGAGGTGGACTGAGGTTGCTTAATAACAGCTTAATAGTGTTCGTAATAAGCAAGTCTCAGTTTCAACTGTGAAGAGAAGGATCCGAGCTGCAGGTTTAACAGGACGAGTTGCAGCAAGAAAGCCATCGCTAAGACATCAGAATAAGACAAAGAGACGTGCCTGGGCCATGAAACACCGCCATTACACTACTGAAGACTGGATTACGGAGTGATGAAGCAAAATTTGAAATCTTCGGTTCACCATGCAGGATTTTTGTACGCCAACAAGGAGGTGAAAGGATGGTTCCACAGCGTGTGGCATCAACTGTCAAACATGGAGGGGGAAGTGTGATGGTCTGGGGCTGTTTGCTGGATCCAGGGTCAGCAGCTTGTACAGAGTGAGAGGCTCCCTGAACCAAAACAGCTACCACAGCATTCTGCAGGCCCATGCAGGACCCTCTGGTGTGCACCTATAGTTGGTCAGGGGTTCATCCTACAACAAGATAAGGACCAAAACATAAGTCCAAGCTATGCCAGAGCTACGTCAGGAAAAAAGAAGATGGTAAGCTTGAAAACATGGAGTGTCTCAGTCTCCGGACTTAAACCCCATCGAGCTGATTTGGGATGAACAGAAGTGTGAAAGCAAAGCAACCTACAAGGTCCACGTTTATGGGAACTTCTGCAGCAGATATGGGAAGAACTTTCTGAAGAATATTTGATTTCTGTTGTAGAAAGAATGCCACGGGTGTGTACAGCTGTTATATCTACTAAAGGAGGCTACTTTGATGAGTCAAAAGTTTAGAATACACTTTGATCTATAAATTGATTCCATGATTATTTTTAACTCCAATTGCTTATTTGTGATTTTCTTTCATTTCAGATTGCAATTAGACGTTAAACTGCATAATTTACAAGAAAAAAATTGGAAAAGTATTCCAAAACTTTTGACTGGTAGTGTAAATATATTGTATATATATTATATTTATTATAGTTATTGTTAGCCATTGATGCAATGACTATATTGTACTTTGTGTGTAATGAATGTAGTTTATGTGACAGTTTACTTTTCTGCGTTAAAATCAGAAAAATAAGAATGGTTCCAAGATATTCTAATTTTACACTACTGTAAATAATAATATAGTCCTCAGGATTGTGTGTGACCAGGTAGTCAGCTCTGGTATGTAAAGCAAATTCAAACAGTCATAAAATTGAGCATCAAGAGCAATGGCATTTAATGGGACAGGGTTACACCCACAATCAGAGTAGGTTCAAATGTCAAGCTCTCAGAAAAGCTCCTGAGGCTTAAACAAATTTGTTAGTTGCCAATCAGTGATGTTGTAGTATGTGCATGTTAAGAACAGATCAATATGTAGAAGAGTCTCTTTCTAAGCTCTGTGTCTGTGCTTATAGTCCTAGAGAAGATGAGAAGTGCTATGGGAAGTGCTCAGCTTCTGATGTCCCAGAAGTTTGAGCAGTTCAGGGAGCTGTGTGAGGAGAACCTGGTGAGTCTGAAGCAGTGGAAAGCGTTTTGTTTCTGTGTAGCAGACTTAAGCCTAACTAAATTTTTTTTTTAAATTTCATTTCTTCCTTTTCCTTTTAATGAGCTTTTTAATTTCAATTTTTCCAATATTTTTCTTGTGTTTTCTAATGTTTAACCTTTTAAATTGTTTCATTTACTGAAGGAAAAACCTTTACTTTGATTATACAGTGAATATTTGATTGACTGATCAACTGAATGTAATAAAATATTAGTAATGGCAAATGGTAATTAATGCCAAGCTTATCATACAAAATGTCATCATATATTTCTATAACTGCATACTAGTATCTTTTACTATTTCAAGTCAAGTAGTGTTTTACTGTCAGCCCAACAATATATACGCTCAAGTATGCGGTGGGACGAAATATTGTCCTCCTGGATCAAATGTGTGTAAAAATAATAAAATGAAAATGAAAAAAATTCAAATATACATATATACAACCATACAAAAATAAGACAAACTAAGAATAAGTACGGGAGTGTTGTACTTGAATAGAAATAGAGTAAGAATAGAAAAGAATGAGAATATTTACAATACACAGACAGAATTCACAGACAAGTTTTTTGAGATACTATATATACAAAGTTTAACATGAGAGTGTGTATAACAACTTTTTATTCATTTTCTTGTTTTTTTTCTATTCTTCCTGCTTATCTACTGTCATAGAACCCCAAAGCCCACCCTCGTCCAGTAGCCTCAGATCTGGCCGGTTTTTGGGATATGCTTCAGTTGTCAATCGAGAACATAAGCCTCAAATTTGATGAGCTTCACCAGCTCAGAGCCAACAACTGGCGGCCCTTGGATCCCCCAGACAGAAAGGTACACTCACAACTTCCATCATCCATTGGCTACATGATTGCTGATCCAGCTCTTTCACTGCATTACTTGCCAAAAGATGACCTCTGTCGGTTCCTTCAAACCTTTTTAAGCATTCAATGCTGACACATTAGAGGTCAAAGATTCCTGCTCAAAACATTCCTAAAACGAATATGTGTGGCTACACATCATGATTTTGACTAATAATAATAATAATAATAATAATAATAATAATAATAATAATAATAATAATAATGCTTTTATTATATTTATTTATATATTTAAATACTATTTAAGTCAGTTTTACACAAGTTCAGTTGATATATACACAATACACTAGACTTGACATGGTACCTGCATTTAATTAAAATAATTAACCTTAAGCTAAGTGTAAATATTGAAAATAAAGGTTTGAGGTTTGACGTGCATCCACTGATGTTAATTGTATGACATATTAATATGTTTGATCGTGAGTCAGAAAAGAAACCAGTCCATTTATATCATATATGTTTACCAACCAATTTATTAGGTATACTTTTTCAACTCCTTGCAAATATCTAACCGGATAATCACATAGGAGCAGCTCAGTTCATGTAGACATGTCGACATGGTCAAGATGTCCTGCTGAGCATCGGAATGTGGACGAAAGGTGATTTGAATGTATTCTCAAATGGCCTTCTCAGTCACCAGATCTCAATCTAATATAGGATGTGGTAGAATGGGACCCACATATCGTGAGGAATGTTTCCGGCAACTTGTTGAATCTATGCCATGAAGAATTGAGGCAATTCTGAAGGCAACAGAGAGTCCAAGCTGGAACCTACACATAAAACAGCCAGTGTACAAATTGCAAATTGCATTCATACCAGTTATGAAGTTATAAGTTATGCTGACAGTCTCACTCACACCTTTAACTCAGATGTAAGGTGAGCCTACACTAATGTTTCACTGTTAGCAGAATAAAATGAACACAGTCTTTGAGTGTCAGACTCAGTGAAGGCAGCAGTAGGGGAAATAGGAGCGTCTACTCATTACTTTGGATGGTGACCTACTTTGGAACATCCCTTAAGGTTCACAGGTTGTGTAAGGGTTTTTCTGTGTAGAGATTATCTAAATAACAATAACAGCATAATTACTGTACTTTCACCAAAGAGTGTAGGTGTGGAATTATTTTTGCAATCACTCTGGTATCATGTTTTGATTTTCCTTGTTTACAAAAACTGAGAAAATGTCAGGAAAAAAAATCATGTTTTGGCTTAAAATCTCTATCCATGTAAAGTTGGCAGGGTGATGAGTCGTGTCCTAACAAAAGTCACAAAAAACAAAAGCATCTGACAATTTTGCCCCCTCCCCACTTGAAAAAAAAGAACAAGAAAAAAACTTTTATCATTAATGTGAATGACAGCTGAGGTTTCTGTGGTTATACAGATACTGTTGCCTGTGCATACGTGTGAGTGGATCTGTAAATGTTGCAGATGTTCAGCATCATTGTGAATATTAACTGGCTTTTTAATTTGCTCTCATTGTTGTCTTTTTCTTTCTTGTGTGTGTTTTTTTGTGTGTGTATTGACAGTGAAGGTGCTTGCAAACATCAGTCAACATAAGAGCAATGCCAACAGCACAAGGCCTTGACCCCTGTGGGCCTCCTAGGATTCATCATGTCTGTCTTTCCATCCATCTATCCATGCTGCTCTCTGCTCTTGCTTCCTTCTTTCACTTACAGCCACCTTCCTGTCTGTGGCTTTTTGCTTTGTTTGTTGTGTGGCTAAAACATTTTACAGGACATCAAACTGCTACACACCAGTTCACAGTAGGTGCATTTATAAGGATTTGCAAAAGAAGTTACAAAATAGGGAAAATGAAGCTCAGGGTAACCCTTTATGATTGAAGTATAATTCAAATATTTTATTTCCAATGTACACAGCAAGTCTTCTCATTCTTCTGTTACTTCAATCAATAGCAGATTTTTATTTGCATATCTTTCCATTTAGTTAGTACAGTCCCAATCAAAAGTTTAAGACCACTTAAGAAATGGCCAAAAATCATGTTTTGCATGGTTGGATCTTAACAAGGTTCCAAGTAGAGCTTCAACATGCAACAAGAAGAAATGGGAGCAAAACATTTTTTGAGCCTGCAATTTATTGAAAACAACACTAAAACTGGAACAGGCTGTTTTACAGCTGATCAAAAGGTTAGGCCCACACCTCCAAAAAACCTGTAAGCCCCCCCCTCCCCCCCCAAACAGAAATCAAAGTTCCAAACATGAACTCTGTAATGAGTAGCTCCACCGTTATTGTTGAGCACTTGAAAATTTGTTGCGGCATGCTTGATGCAAGCTTTTCCATGAAGTGAGTGGTGAAGATGGCCGCACGAAGGGCATCTACTGTTCTCAATTGGATTTAGATGAGGGGAACATGCAGGGTGATATTATTCTCCTGGAAGAAGTCCCTTGTCCAGCGGGGATTGTGCACTGTGGCACTGTCCTTTTGAAAAACCCAGTTGTTACCACACAGACGAGGGCCCTCAGTCATGAGGAATGCTCTGCAACATCTGGACATAGCCAGTGGCCATTTGACGCCCCTGCACCCCTGAACTCCATTGCTCCACTGAAGGAAAAGCACCCCAGACCATTATGGCACCCCCGTCCACTGTGGCGTGTAGAAAACATCTCAGGTGGGACATGCTTGTCGTCCCAGTAACGCTGGAAACCATCTTTTTAGCCACCAGGATCATTTAAGAAAGTCCAAATGACTGTCTTACTGCGTCCCACCTCACTGCTTATGCAGTTCAACAACCCGACCACGTTCAAAAAGGGAACGTTTTTTGCCTTTGCCATCATTAATTGTATCATTTCAATTATATGATTTTTGTAATTTAGCTAGCTTAAAGAGCAGCAATAATTTTAGCAAAATTGTCGAAAGTTTTGTTTTCAAGCCCGCCTTCAGTTCATATTTTTAGCAATTAAAATGAGACGGTACTCACATTTTAATAGCTGGGATCAGCAGGAAGTGTAAAAATGAAGAGAAAAGACTGAAGCACAGAGCTATAAAATAATTATTTCAGGACATTTATGGTGTCATAGAGTGGAATCTAAATATTGAATAAATTGGAGCTATATCAGTCCTGCAAAGAAATAAAGAAAATGTCATATGTGCAGGAGCAGTCCTTGCCACATGATAGATAGGAAAGATGCATGCACACAGACAAAAGGACCCTTTCTCACTTGAACATATCTAGCTTACAATCATGCCAAAGCCTTGTTTGTTCAGACAAATACATCTGTCTCTGTCAGAGGTATGACTTCAGCTGTCTTCAAGCATATAGATTGTTACACAGCAACCAAAAAACCTTATTTGAAAGAGAAAATGGAAAGATTCTGATAATCAGTGGGTGACTCATGCAGAATTCTACAGAATGGAAGTCATCTTAACTCATTCTCATTCCTAGGCATACAAGCACGCACACACACACACACACACACACACACACACACACACACACACACACACACACACACACACACACACACACACACACACGCACGCACACACAAATAAGTATGTCTTTTTCCTGAAAATGTTCTGCCCTTCCCTCCTGCCATCCCCCTCCCAGGAGAGGCGGCTCCCACCTCCAGTGCCAAAAAAGCCACCCAAGGGCCCCCATCATCACCCCCCTCTGGCCAGAGACCGCTCACTGGAAAGCTCAGAGAAACAGCGGCAGGAGGCCAGGAAGCGCCTGATGGCCGCCAAGAGAGCAGCATCTGTACGACAAAACTCAGCTACAGAGAGCGCTGACAGCATCGAGATCTACATCCCTGAGGCTCAGACAAGGCTATGAGGACACTGCCAGAGCCACACAGGGTTGACACGCAGTACACACCATTCACACAGAACACAACAAATGTATGGTTGTCCACACAAAGGAAAAGGGTTTAGACGCATCTGGATATATTATTTCATTATGCACAATGCACTCTGAGGATAAATAGAGCTGGAACATTGATGGAACATGTGCCCTTTCCCAATGCTCACCTGTCTCCTGACTGGTTTAGTTACCTGTAAATGTAACCATGCTTCCTCTGGATCCAAACTCATGGTCCACATGGTCCAAACTCGGTCATGTTTAAACATTCTTTAGAGCAGCTACATGGCAGACACCCCAAAATTGGTTTTAAAATTTCAGGTTATATTCATCAGTTTTCACAGAGTGAGTGTATAGTAGGGAACACTCTCCTGACTGGAGTTTCACAGGTGTGATCTATCTCATAATCAGGTGTTGAACCATAACACGAGTTTGACTGAACAAGTTTACATATCTACAGAGGAAGCAGGTCTTCTTCCACGCGGTATAGCACGTTCATGCACTGTCTATAAATGAGTGGCTGTGCTTTCCAGGTCACAAAAATGAAATCAGCCAACCTAATCTTTAGCTCCACTAGACTCGTGTTCAAAATGTGTCAACTCCTCTCATTAAATCCCTTAAATAAATTTCTCCAAAAGTTATCATGGTATATTAGCTAATTTTATCACTTTTGAAAGGACTTGCTGAATCAGGTAGTTCATATTAGGCCTCACACAGACACTTGCTCAAATACGATCACTCCTGACTCCAAAGTAACAAAGGTGGTGATTGGTTTCATAAGGGTAGCCCAAAATCCAGTGGGTGAAGTAACTGTGGTTATGCTGTTTGTTGCCATGTTGCATTGCAATAGTAACCAGGGACAGAAAAACTCATTCTAGCACCTTTTATGTTTTTTACTTGTGTTTTTGTAGCCTCTGTAGATCCCACACAGGAGACGGGAAGGCATGGGGTCAGATCCCTGAAATCTGCACTGCTAAATGGTGACGCTATGAAATCCAAACGTTCATTCTTTTAATTGTTTGGGGTTATCAGCTGAACAGATTTGGTCAGATCATACAGGTGTCTTTTAAATGCCTTTTTAACTTGTACAAATGAGTACTGCACAGAAGTGATGGACAATCTTACATAAACACACAGAAGTAATAATAATCTTGTGTGACATGAAAATACTTCACATGCCACTCATACATAATGAACACATGAGTGCTCACAGGCAATTTCTTTGGTCTTGTGGCTGAATGAACACTGCAGACTGGTGTCGTATAAAACAGCGTATCACTCCCCCCTCTGGAGAATGCCATGATCACGATTGTTCATCTTCCTCTCCATCTCCACGTAATTATCAACTAGTATTTCCTTCCTCGTAAAAATGACTGAAATGGTTTAAGAAGATCTCTGTTATTTTGCAAATTTCAATACAATTTTATAGTTTGGACATCCTTCAGTGGACAAAGTAGCAGTTTAACAGCTCCAGTACTAGTCAGAGACACTGCTAACACAAGCCTTCAGACAACTGGAGCTTTTCCATATTTGAGTTGTTTCAAGCCTGTCTGACATGGTTGCTCTGTCTCTGCAGTTCAATGCTGTGCTGACCAAAACAACAACAAAAAAACCAACTTATAAATAAACAGAATTTTATTTTAATGCTTCTTGTGTAAGCAGAAAGCCTTCACATGAATTATTAAGTGCTCATACTGTCAGAAAGGCAGCAGTGTGTCATAAAAGTGTTTGTATCACCACCTGTGCACAGGTTTGCAAATCCTCCCTTTCTTTGGTTTGACTTTAGTTTGTTTCTCCTTGTTGGCTTTCAAGGTGATTTGTCTTTTACCAGGTACTGAAACAGTGTTGGGCAGAGTGCATTGATGGTGCTGAGAGAGATACAGTACATACAGTTGTGGTCAGACGTTTACTGACACTCATCATGGGCATGAATATCACAGTAATTTGGGGCTTTTACTCATTTCTTTTAACTGTTCTTTTTCCAGGGTGGCCCGTGCCACATACATCTTTAATGGACTTAAAAAACAAGTTTGAGTTTATTTTGGATTTTCTTTCATCCACACAGGGTCAAAATTACACATGCAACCTCAAACGCGTACTCCTACGTGTTATTTGGTTAAATGTCCCCTTAGCAAGCTGCACCTCGACCAGACGCTTTTGGTACTCATAAACAATGTTTGATGATGTTTGAGTACTGCTCTTGGCAGAATTGGAAAAGTTCATTTAAATGAGTTAGTCAGTTAGTCCACACATTTACAGTAGGGTTCGAGTCCAGGGATTTGGGAAGACCATTCCAGAATCTTAATGTTTTCCTGCTTTATCTATTCCAAAAAGTTTTGATTTGTGTTTGGGATCATTGTCTTTTTTTCACCCATCTAGCTGTTGGTTCGAGTTGAAGTTGAAGGGTTTGGAGGTTGTCCTCCATTATTCCATCCACTTTGTGCAATGTACCACTGGCAGCATGATGCTGCCACCACCATGCTTAACAGCTGGTACAGTGTTATTAACGCTGCAAGCATCACCTTTACTCCTCCAAGCGTAGCTCTCGTTATTGTGGCCAGATTGCTCAGCTAATGTCTCCCTGGCCACGTTCACCAGAAGGTTTTCCATTTGGGCAACTGCAAATTTCAGTCAAGCTTGAAGGTTTCAATTTTGGAGCGTAGACTTTGTTCTTGGTCAGTAGCCTTTGATCCCCAGCTATTTAAAACACACTTTACCATGGACAGTGACGCTGGTGTTCCAGCAGTTTACAGCTCATGCCAGGCTTGAGCCTGAGTGGTTCCTGGGTTGTTCCTGAACATCCTGAGTAATTTCCTCTCATTTGAGGGTGAAGGTGGTAACACATCTGAATAACTTGTACTCATGTACAGTTGTTTGAACTGATAATTTGGAAACTGTAGTGGTTTAGAAATAGTTTTAACAGATTTTCCAACTTGTATAAATTTATAATTCTCCTTAGATCTTCACTGAGTTCCTTAGACTTTACCATTGCTCTAACTATTCATCAATCCAGTAGGTGCTGGAAAATAATGTTTATGCTTCAAAGAACAACTACCACTGTCAGACATGATCACTAATGAGAAGTTGATATGTAAGTGGACGGGTTCTTATATAGCACTTTTCTACTCTACTTGAACACTTAAAGCACTTTATACAACTTACCACATCATCTACGTCTACATACAAGTGATTTCTATGTTACATTCATACACACATTAGACAGCATCAGACAGCATCCTGCCCAAGGATACTTAGACATGAGATTGGAGTAGCCAGGGATTGAACCACCACCCTTCCAATCAGTACCATGAACCTGTCTGGATTAGAGAAAACAAAAAAATCAAAATAAATTCAAACTTGTGCACTCAATTCTTTTTTTAGTTTTCTAAAATAATTCCGGAAAAGAAAGAACAGTAGAAAAAAGAAAGAATTGTGATCATGAAAAGCTCGAAATTTCCATTACATTTATGCCCATGAGGAGTTTATGCAAACTTCTAACCTCAACTGTAACAGATGACCTTGCCATGATTTGAAGCTGAAGTAAAGCCACAGTAGTTATGCACTAAAAGTGTTCAGCTGATCACCCTTTACGTTTGTTTACATTCACTGAGGTAAAATACTGAAATTTATTTGGGTTAAAACTAATAATGACATTGATATAAGCTTACCTGAGCCGTTCAAAAATGTATCATACGTTTTTGGACAGAAGGGGCTCAAAATTTAGTTTTCAGTAGCCATCCAGTGATAGCCATACATATTTTAATTTAACCACAACTATTATCTTTTCCTAAAATAGCCAAGTAGCTAAGTAGGTTTAGTGCCTGGTCAAACAGTGAGTGAAAACAAAGTTCAAGTGTATGACTAATAGAAAAATTTGACAGCCAGTGATCTTGTGTGGGATGTTAACGCTCTAGCTTGTGTTACCAGGCCATAAATTAAACTTTATTGCATGTGATTCTGACTACAAAACACAACAAATTCATGACAGAAGCAGAAATTATGATTCGGTTGGTTAATAATCTACAATGTAAAATATTCTTGTTGGATTATAGTTGCAAAACTAAAATAGAAGTTTGTAATTTGAGGGTTGAAGAGAGGTGGTAAGCCATTTGATTCTGTCATGAAACTCTCAGAAGCAGCTAGCAGCTACTTCATTCATGAAAAGCTGTTTGCTCACCTTTTGGTGAGTTCAATGGGGCATTCGCACCATATGCAAAGTGAAAGTACTTGTGAATTCAGCTGCATTAGCAACTCAAATATTAGCCCTTGTTAGCCAACAGGATGAGGAAAAGTACAGACAATAGTTGGAATCAAGAGAAAGAAACATATTTTCACACCTTATCATGAAGCCCTCTATGCCCTTTTTAAAATTTGCAATCTTTACATCAGATATTTGAAACAGATGGTTCCAGCTGCGCTCAATAAATTTGTCTTCTACGTCTGGAAGCTTCGGGAGAGAATTCACAGTCAGCGGTTGAATTCCATCTAATGGGTTTTGCCAAATGCATTTCAGTTTGCCTGATTACAGAGACTTTGTGTGTAATTGCACCTTATGAATACTTTTCTTAAAGTTTGGTGAAATGCATCATAACCCTGATGATGTCATCAGGTTTATCGTAGTTTGGGCTCGTTAAAAACACATCGTTTGGTGGTGTTAACAAAGAGACACTGTCTGATACTAATGGGTAAAGGTTTGAATCCACGTTGCTTTGATTCTGATTTTGTCTCTTTGGAATTAAAATATGTCAGTGTGCCAAAGTCTTGGAGTACCCAGAAAAACCAGATTGAAGCTTATTAAGTTCAGTATGTTTGGGCTGATCACATTTTTGCAGACTTCTCCTTCAACAGAAATAACTCAGTACTGACGTGAAGTTGCTGCCTGTTACTGCTTACACATAATGAGACATTTTGACCTGGGTACTAAAATGAGAAGACATTCCAAATTCATCTGGGTCTTAGATTTGACTTCTTGGCTAAGAAGCTGCTTCATCAGTGACAAAGGAAAATGTTTAGGGCCAAGCTGATTCTCTCTGAGCCACTTCATGTTGTTAAACTGTGATAATGACATTTATACTACTACAACTGCTATGTATACCAACATGTATCTATTAACAAACTGCCATTCATTTCTTCAACAATCTGGAAATCATCAGTAGGATTCAGAGAATTCTGCAGATGATTCTAAGATAATAATGATGAAGTGTTGTTAATGAAAGTATTCTGTATTATTTTCTTCTTTTGTAATGATGAGGTGTGTGTGTTAGCGTGTGTGGTGAAGGAACGTAATTTTGTACAGGATTTGATTACCTCTGTGTTTTAATGATAATGACAGTGAGCCATATTCAGCGTAAAACACCTTTCTTATCAAGAGGAAAGGGCCATACCACTGCAGATTGAATATGCTTTGGATTTTTGGTTTTTGCATTTACAGAATCATTTCTTTTGTATTCCAGTAGCAAGCTTACTGTCTGTGAGTTTGGGGAGACGTGTTGAGTGCGGACAACATGACACAAATGTGAGCAGGAAGCAGGGAGACATACATTTTTAATGTCCTGTATTAAAATTTGCACGTTTCTCAAATTAAAGTGTTGGTTGGACATGCAGAAATGACTGCTAAATAAAAACTAAACTAAGATTATTAAAAGTGATAAAAACAAAACTGTTAAAGAGCTGTGGAAGATCAGGGCTGCCAGAGAAAATGTAAAGAAAATATCTCTGTTTTTTTGTATCTGTGACAAACAGACATGACAAACAAGAGGAGAATGTTCTGATTTGCTAACATTGCACTAACTCACTGGCAGTACAAGTTCATTTCAATAATGACAACCACTCGAGAGCAGTGCAAATTAGCAGGTCAAAGCTATATATTAAAATTCACAAGAAGATCCAATGATTTTAATGATTCTCTAACAGGAAAGAAAGCGTGCTGGAGTTGCTCAGGCAGGTCATTCTACAACTGAGGAGTGCAGCAAATTGTCTTTAAGCGTGAAGTGGGAGCAGCTCCCTGGTTGCTGGTGAGGAGCGCTCGCTGCACTCTGGTTTGTATGAACAGCAGTTCCAAAATGCATTGTGGAGCCAGACATTCTGAACAGTTTAGAATCTATTTATTGATTTGTGGTTGATATCTGGTAAAAGGTTTTATATTTAACGTACTAAAAACTGAAAATAGATCTGCAAAAAATGAATGAACTAAAATGGAATAAATAATACAGAAGAAGTATTAATATTTGTTAGTTTGGTCAAATGATATCACAGCTTGCCTGATGAGACTTTGATGGATGTGTTTGCTAAGACTCTATAAGAGTGAGTCACCACTTTAAAAATTCTCTGTGTTTTTATTGTAACACCTATTTTGATTTTCTAAAATCGTGTTTCTGATATGTGCCTGGCATACAATAATAATTAGGAAGACTAAAATTAAGACCCAGACAAATAGAAACAATAAACCCAAATATTTTCAAGCAATTAAGACAAACTGGAAACTAAGTTAGAATGAAATAAACGTTAATTAGAAAAACCCTCAGATATAATAATTCTGGTTTGTTAAAAGAATGAAATAAACGCATGAATCATAAATGTAAAGAAAGTGATATTCCTCAGGTGGTAGAAGCAGGACCGAGTGACCTGAAAAGTCAGATTAGAATCAAATAGGACTGATGACTCCTATTCTGTAAATATTTAGTTGAATTTTACTAAAGAAATTGAAAATACCTTTATTTTTAAAAGAGTTTAAAGAGTTGATCGTCACTGAATTTTTTTCTCTATACAGTGTGGCCAAGTAGCAGAATATAGAATTAAATGGGAAAAGAAATAAAGATTTAGCAATTTCTGTTTTATGTATCTTTTTAGTTTTTTAATATTAGCAGTTCTGGACATTCATTCAACTTTAGATATACTGATGCTGAACATCTCTGCAACTCCAACCAGTGGCGGATTTGAGCTCCCTGATTCTCTGCGTTTTTCCTCAGGAAGGAACGGGAAAGAACAGGTCATTTTTAAAATCAGGGTCTCCCAGACATGTTGATCTGTTAATCACAGTCTGTGTGTGTGTGTGTGTGTGTGTGTGTGTGTGTGTGTGTGTGTGTGTGTGTGTGTGCGCGCATTCAAAATTTGGATGTGTATCATTTGTATATATATAAAACCATGTCGAAGATACATTGGATGCAAGGTCTCTATAAAGTGCTTCCTGAGTCTCTTGTTTTCTATGTTGGGCCTTCCCTCTGTACGGTCTGGTAGCCTCATTGGGTCATTCTGTAAATTAACTCTCTACTTATCCCTGCAACCGATTTCTGGTGTTTGTACAGAAGATGATAAGGGTGTTTCATAACGCATGCAGACACAATATTAGTACTTACGAATCTATATCTAAGTTGAAAACATGTATTTGGTTTATTTATGATCTTATTTATTGATTTTCTAAAATATGAAATTCTGTTGAAGTGGTCTGTCATGCTCTTATGATCTTATGTTGTATTGTAGAGAGATGATTATATGTCCATAACTATTGATCAGCCCATAATAAAATAACTATTGACTCTTCCATGACTGATCTCTATTTACAACAAATCATCATCATGGTTGTGTTGATATCTTTCGTAGACATCAGAGGACTGGAAAATCAAGCCCAGTGAGCTTTATTAGTAAAGTATCTCCACAGGTGATCCAGCCTGCTTTATTAGCGAAGACATAAGACTTAATTTACACACACAGTGAATACAACTTAATTTTGTTCAGTTCAATTGAATTTTATTCATACAGTGCCAAATCACAACAACAGAGTTGCCTCAAGGCACTTTATATTCTAAGGAAAAGACCCCACACAATAGACAAAGCACCAACAGTTACGTGACCCCTTTTGAGCAAGCACATTGGCAACGGTAGGAAGGAAAAACTCGCTTTTAACAGGAAGATGCCTCCGGCAGAACCAGGCTCAGGTAGGGGCGGGGCCATCTGCCATAACTGGATGAGGTGAAGACGGGAAAAAGACATTCTGTAGAAGAGATCCAGAGATTAATAATAAATAATGACTGTATGCAGTGTGGTATAGTGTCTTTTTCTTGTCAGTACTCCAGGAGGATTTCTCAAAGCTTTAGTGACAGCAGAGATACTCTGAGGCTGTGGCAAGGAATACGAACCATCACAGACTACAAGCGCACACTGCAGACCGCTGTCAGTTCCACCTCTTTACCGGATGAGCTAAACAAATTCTTCACTCGCTTTGAAGACTCCCCATAATGACCGGGTGGTGACACTATCCCCAGACGGTGTGTGGAGATCCCTTGCCAGGATCAATACATACAAAGCCCCAGGTCCTGATAACATCCCTGGATGAGCACCGAGGGACTGTGCTGCGGAACTCACAGATGTCTTCACGGACATCTTTAATACATCACTGAGCCAGACTGTTGTCCCCACATGCCTCAAAGCCTCCACCATCATTCCTGTACCGAAGAAGTCATCTCCCCCCTGCTTTCTTGACTAACGTCCGGTCACACTCACCTCCATCATTACGAAGGGCTTTGAATGGTTAGCCATGCATCAAATCAAAACATCTCTTGCCCCCAACCTGGATCCACTTCAGTTTGCATACCGGTCAAACCGCTCGACCAATGATGACATTTCAACTGCCCTTCACTCAGCCTCATCTGGACACTAGAGGCTCATACCTTAGAATGCTGTTCATAGACTTCAGCTCACCGTTCAACATGATCATTCTCCAGCAACTCAGACATAAACTGGATCTGCTGGGGATCAGCACCTCGCTGGCTGCTGGTTTTCCTGACAGGAAGACAGCAGGCAGTACGGGTCAGCAGCAACACCTCCAGCACAAGAGCACTGAATACAAGGATGTGTGTTGAGGCCACCTCTCTTCACCCTGCTGACCCACGACTGCACACCATCACACAGCTCCAACCTCTTCATCTAATTTGCAGACAACACAACTGTGGTAGGTCACATCAGCAACAACGATGAGACCTACTACAGGAGCGAAGCCAGGCGGAGTGGTGCAGCAACAACAACCTGTATGTGGAGAAGACTAAGGAGATCATCATAGACTTCAGGAGAGCTCACACCATGTATGCTCCACTAACCATCAATGGTGCTGCTGTGGAGAGGGCAAGCCGCACCAACTTCCTGTGTGTGCACATCTCAGAAGATCTCTCCTGATCTCCTGATTTATTTTATTTTTATCTGTTTATCTTTATATTGTCTTAGTGTACACTGAGGGCCATGGGAGCATTGCAGTTTCCAGTTCCTGTGTATGACTGCACATATGGTCTTTGACAATAAAGCTGACTTCGATTTTGATAATGAATAAAAAGGGTGAGTGAAGAAGAGACACTGAATGCATCATCAGCAGTCTACGCCTTTTGCAGCATAACTAAGGGACAATTCAAGGTCATCCAATCCAGCCCCAACTATACGCTCTGTCAAAAAGGAACATTTTCAGCCTAACGGATGTCTGTCTCCTGAACTGAAACTGGGAGCTGAGTTTTCATCACCTCATCGACACTCTTTGTTATGATGTTTGAACTCTGCTGATTCGAGTGATTTTGATGGGGGTGGAAAATAGGATTCTGGATTTAACAGGGAGCCAATGAAGAGAAGCCGCTAGGTTAGTCATTAATATGCTACTGCATGGCTTGCATGGCCTGATCCTCAGCTTCATCTACCCACTGAAGTCGTTGCTAGCCCGATGGTGAGTTTTTCCTGAACCATTCATGTATTTGGTGTCTGGTGAACCCTGAGCCAATGACCTGTAGTTATATTGTAAGGTTTGAAAAACTGAACTTAAAGATGCACTGCAGATGTGTCAATAAAAAGCCAGAGAGGTTGCCAATGACCACTGTTTGCTTTTAAGGCTTTGTTGTAATAAATGAAACAAGATCCAAAGCATTTGCCAAGAGAGGTGGAAAGATAAGAAATGTATCACCAACCCATCATTGTACATGATTGTGAATGAGAGAAACTGTGTTTTGTACTTGTTAGACACAGAATTATAATCAACATGTGATTTTGCTGATAGTTGGTCATGCTTAATTTCTTAAATATAATCAGGTGGAGTTTAATCAATATAAGGAATAAGAAAATATATTAACGATTGTCTCACTGAGAGTCTGGCCTTTGTTCATGTGACACTTGACCTATTGATAAATCTAAAGGTGACAATGCATAAACTGAATGATGCACAAAGTGAAGTACCTTCATATGTGGTTGAATGATTAGGTCATAACAAAGTACAACATAAAAAAGAAGAAAATGTAATGAAGTGAAGTAGTGAAGTTTAACTTTCATTTTAAATCATGTTTGTGGAAAAGTCGAGTAGATAGAGAGAGGATGGTAAGGTGTGGCTGGACATCAGGTGACTAAATGTAAACAACATTGATTTGATATCACAGGAGTTATGAGGCCAGATGTTATCTCGGAAGACAGAAAAAAAGGGAGGGGGGGGGGATGTCTTCTGTGAGATGAGCAGTTGAGAAGATCAACCACTGCCCAAACTGTGAATTTGCAAATATTGTCTTTGTAATTTTGTTGGTTTTTTTCTCCTGGTTTTTGCCGTGTTACCTTATAGATTCAAGAGGATTTGGCTTTCCATTGTTTTCCTGGGGGACTGGATTTCCAAGGGATGCTGCTTTCCTGTTGGACTATTATTGTCAGCAAGGGACACAGGGATAAGTGCGTCTTCAGATTAGGTTGTGCTCAATCCTTTGCCTCACAAAGATCAGAACAAAGTCAACATTAGCTCAGAGTAGGTTCAATAGATTTTTTAACCAGGGAGCCATTCCCAATTTCCTGCACTAAAAAAACATGTTGGATTTACTTAATTCGATAGTGGACATTAGTCGCACACAGATGTTTTGCTTTTGCAGCAACTTAAACGATTTAATAAACCTGTGCATTTTTGTTGATAAAACATGACTAATGAAGTAATTTGAGCTCTTGGAATATTTTAGTCCTTCACAATTTCTTTTCATTTTATTCCAACACTATTCAGTAACTTTTACCCCAATACTACTTGGTCACTTAAACATTACATGTTATCTTCATATTGCATAACGTTCAACAAAGTCTAGAGTCTGGTCAGCATAAAAGGTTAATGGATTTACAAAAACTTCTGCTCCATCCATCCTCTTATCTTTATCGGGGTTGGGGGGCCTGTGCCAGATGTGATAAGAGACAGGGTACACCCTGGACAGGTTGCGGGTCTATCACCGAGAGACAAACAACCATTTAACTTGCATTCACACTTATGGGCAGTTTTGAATCACAGATGAACCTAACTCTAACAACTGTATGACTTTTAACTGTGGAAGGAAACCACAATACCCAGAGAGAACCTACTATAAACTAGCTGCATTGTGGATTTGAACCCAGACTTTTCTGAGTGTGAGGTAACAGTGCAAACCACCGCGCCACCAAGTTGTTGGTCCTGCCTGAACAAAATTAGGAAAGCTATGATTTCAACCCATATGGAAAAGATCTATATAAATCTTATAAAGTTTGTATCTGTCTTGTGTGAAACTTGTATGAAAAGCATATAAGAGTGAAAACAGATATAAGATCCCTTGAAAAATTATATAATGAAACTTGTATGTTTTGGATACTTCCTAAAACAATGTATGAAAGTAATGAGAAAGTGGCCACTTTCATGATCACATATAAGTTTTTACTATTTCTCTTCCATATGGGAAGGCTTGATGCAGAATTTTCTTTACGTGTTGTCCTTGACATGTTAAACCACAATTAATAGCAGTAGCAGTGTGTGTGGTTGTCTGCGTGTGTGTGTTTGGTACCACAGATCACGCATTACAACACATTAATGAATGCAGTAAGAGCTTGGACCTGGAAGCAGGGTTTGTACACCATCAGTGAAAATGATAAAACAAACTATAAGGTATTGTAAGTGCAAAGTACAAATAGCTCATTTTAGGTGTTAGTAGGATGTTGCTAGGCAACATGTCCTAATGCCTATACCTGTGAACCAGTTTTGGTTGTTCAACCCTTTATTGTTCAGGAGTAATTTGAAACCAGAGATGTCATGTGTTGGATTAATATTCATCTGTGATGCATATTCAGCTTCATCTGTCCATTTTCTCCTGGCATGCTCATTTTTGATATTCCTGTTTGTGTTTTGATATTAATGTCTAAATTGAGAAAGTTCTTCTATGTTCCAAAAAATAATCTGACTTGACTTAGTTCCTGTTGCTATGCGCCTCGCTGTACCACTGTCACAGTGCTGGTCAGTCCTCCGTGTGGCATGTACACCCAGGTGCCCTGAGATTCTAAGCAGAGCCATATTTCTAACAAATGAACACTGACTGCTGGAAAAAAAACGTCATACCATACAATCCTGATCATTTTTTAATTTTAAACTACTTCCTGCATTTATGCATGTTTCAAAATAATCTGACTTTCTGGTTGCAGATTTACATGAACATAGGAGATGTTATTGCTACACACTGTCACACTGATGGGCATCACTACATATTTGGTGAGACAAGGGAGAGAAAATGCAGCCATCAGCCTGCATACTG